TAATAAAATAATACAACGGTTCGTTGATTATAAGGACATCAACAGCTACTTCAATACAAAATTAAACCGTTGGGTTATTTTGTTCTCAACATTTCCTAATAGATTTATATCTATATATAGCAATAGAACAGTACAGATGAGCCACAATGCCCACAAAACTTCCAATTATCTCTTACTCTTAAATACTTTTTACACATTACAAGTATAAAATATATATATACTCAATAAGACTCCGAAAAATCGCTTTTTATTTTGAGTCCTTTCAAAAAGTTCAACCCTCTTCTACTTTGTTTCCTTTTGGAAGCCCCTTTTATTATCTTATTCCTCCTATCCCACACTATATACACCATTTTACATTTTCTCTCTTACTTTATTCAACTTTTTTTTACACCCACCCACCCACCCACCCACCTTTTTACACCATCTTCCTTTATTCACTTTTTCCATGCATTTCTTGAAACAAGAGTCTAAAATACACAAGCCGAAATTTTGGGAACGAAGGAAGTATAATGGATGACTCAAAATTTATATAGTCAATTTTATCCTTATTGGAGATTCCCATAACTTAAAAATATGTGTTCCCAAAATCCAATCCAAAGTATTACAAATGCCCAAAATGCATAAATACTTCCAAGTTACCACCTTACTATGGACCAAATCTTGTTAATCCATTCAACCCTCAAATGCACTACATTCCACCTATTATTATATGTCCGTACCCTCATTTTCTTTATCCTAATAAATCACACATGGTTTATGAGAATTTAAGAAGGGAAAGCATGGGAGGTCCTAGCCTGCATCTAGATTCTCCAACTCCAGCAATTCCTAAAAATAAAGTTCATGTAGAGAAAAAAATTGAAGAGATCATTCCTAACAATAGTGGCGGAGGCAAAGGAAAGGTAAAGCCATTTGAAGAACAAAGTTCAAATAGAGTTATGAACAAGATAACTGTAGAAGTTGGCCTAGTTTCACACTTTCACGTGATAAACCCTTAGCTTTAGATTTTTTTTCTTTGCTTGTAGTGAATGGGCCTAAAAGTATAAACTTTGAATTGCTTTTTTTGATAATACAAATAATTAACAAAATTTAACTGCCGAGAAAAAAAAATACCCAATGGTTGTTGATGTCTTTAATGATCAAAGAGTAGTCGTGACTAGCCCTGGTTATTGGACAGGGTAGTCCAATGGGCACCAGGGACGGGCCAAATTAAAAGGGCTATGACCCTCTAATTATTTAACTGGACAGGGCTCGTGTAGGGCCTCTCCTAAAAGGGTCATTAATGGGCTCTTGTGAACAACCCTATAAAAATGAAAATAGATATAGGGTCCTTAAAAGGGCCACCTAAATAAATAAAAGTTGAACTCTCTCTCTCCTCCTTTCCTTCTCCTCTCTTTAACACAGATATACAGTGACAAACCTTTTGCTTCGCCGGAAGATTCATCGTCTCATCGATGTGTAAGATCCGTCGCCTGCTATTACTTTACTCAACCTTAAATCCTTCTTCAAGATTCTTTTCTTAATAATTTTAAAAATCCAATTTCTTTCTTTGAATTATCAACTTCAAAAATTTAGATTTAAAAATCATTAACAATCAAATCTACAATATAAGTTGATCAGTGTATTTTTTTGCTATTGAAACGATTTGCAATGACCTGGTGTTGGGATGTAGTTGTTAGATTTTTTCTTTTTTAAACAATTATGGAACTTTACATTATAAAGAAGAAATATTGAAATGAGTAATCTGTACTCCGCCTGCTCTGGCACTCTGCGACTTCTTGACCCATTAATGACCCATTTTACTTTTACTCCAAACCCTGACCCGCCCCTAACCCTTTTGGCCCTGACCCAACCCTGACCCTTTAAAAATTACAAGTGACCCGCCCCATTACTGACCCGCCCCAACCCTCCCAATAACCAGGTCTAGTCGTGACAATTCATTAATATAAAATACAAGAAGAAGCAACAACATCAAGCATAAAAAGAGGAGCCCACCCTTAAATGATGTTGTAATATTTCCTCGTTCAACAGATTGTGACTCAACAGGCTTCAAAATGTATTAGTCCGCACTGGTATCTCTTGTTGCTCTATTTAACAAGTCCTCCATTTCTTTTTAACGACCACATGTTAACTTTTGGCACTCTTCGCATAAGTTACTTCATTTTGTGCTTTATTCTTAACAAAAAAATGTAACAAAGTAAGGTCTAGTTAAAATCTTCTCAAACATTTATTTTCCAAATATTACACATTGAAAATAAATATACTCTCTCTGCTTGCAATTATCTGCAACATTTGCCATAAATGGGTGCTCTCTATTATGCACAACAATTTTTTATCTTTCCTCTTTTAGTAAATTTTAAAGTGTAAAAACACCATCTTACCAAACTTAAACATATGGGACCACTTTCTCTCTCCTATTTCCCACTCACTTTTACCCACTAACAAACTTAAACATATGGGACCACTTTCTCTCTCCTATTTCGTTCCTTTTTTTACGACTTAATTAAATCCACCTAAACTTAATTAAACTCCACTAAAAGTTTTGCCAATGAGTCCGCAAAAAAGACGTTTGATGCTGATAATCGTGGGCGGAGGGAGTAATTGAAATTATGTGTTAAAAAACATACCTAAAAGAAATGTGTTCATTAATATGAAACGGAGGACGCAAATAATTGCAAGGAGATCCGTTACACATGTTCTTAGGGTTCGTAATTGTTTTACTTCACCAATTATATAAATATCAACCAAACTATTTCAATATCTTATATTCACCAGTTATATTTCCTTTGTAGATCTAAAGTTCCTTGAAAGTGTAGTAAACAAATAACATAACCTACAGGCCCATATTGTAGAGGTGTACATGGCAAGAACCGAATGTACACCTGAAATCTCAACTATTTCAAATAATCTCTAGTCTACACACCCTTCAATCTAACTTTTGTGTGACTTGAGAGTTCTAAACATACAATCACAATCACCACTTATCATAATCATTCCAACCGTCATATTAAAAGTATAACTCAATTGTAACTCATTTAACCATCATCGTCTAACATTTTCTCATATCAATCAATTCATTTCAATTTAATTCCACATCATTTTCTAATCCATTCAAGCAAGATAAATAACCAATGTAATTCACACTCTCAAAGAATAAGAAACGGTACGCTCGAAAAACATTTGATCAATAGATGACTCAATTAATTTAATTCAATTAGTGGTTTGACATAAATTGGTAAACAAAAAAAATTCAAGCGAAACCATACTAATCAATTTTGAGTCTAATTAGCAATTAGAACATCAATTATACATTAGTAAAACAAATCAAATAAGGGCAAACTAACCTCTTTAATTGCAGGAACACATTGCTGCTGCTAGTGGTTGCCACGGGTGGGAGGTGGCGTAGTGGGATGGAGGCCGGCGTCGAGCGTGGTGGCGTTCAGGGGTGCGCACCACAGCCGGAGAGGAATACAGGCGTTATTTCGAAATTTATTTTTTTAGAAGTAAAAAATTAGGAATACTAGTATAGGAGAAAATACAAGAATATGTATTGTATCTGGGGTATGTTCGTCATTTTAAGTTAATAAGTTGGATAATATTGTAATTTTGTCGGATAAATAAATGAATTCTGAGCAATAATAGAGCAGCTTCAATGAAGAACTTAACGACTTTCATGAGTTAAGTATAAGATTATAAGAATGGGGAATAAGTTTTTAGTTTTTTCACCTTTTGGGACCTTAGTTTTTTTATTTCACCTTTGGGGACCTCTAGTTAACAATCCGACAAACTAACCTAAGTTTAACTCACCAGAGTAAAAACTTAATCCCTTCATTATGTACCTTTTATTAAATTTCTTGTAAAAAAAACTTAGTCCCTTCATTTAATACATGGCAATTCCAAAAACATAGGTTCTTATAATTTTTTCTCAGTGCTCGGATTTTATTTTTTCACCATAAGATTTCGTTTCAAGGTTTAAAGTGATTTATGTTCTTGGTAACTTCATTATTTTTTTCTTTTGATTTGATTGGTTTTATTTTCTGTATGTGTTGATTATATATGCAAAATTTTTTGTATGTTTTTATGCTCTTCAATTTATTATATGATACAAAGATTTGATTTGTATGTGTTCAACTTATAAAATTGATTTTTTTTTTTTTTTTTACGTATTGTTGTACCTAAAATTTCACCCTAAGTTCTTATGTTCTACAGGAAGCTAGGTTACAGGCTACATGTTGGCATAAGACAGGTCGATGATAGCTGCATAGCTAACATTCAGGTACCAAGCAGGCTAAAGATATTATCAGGGAATATTCCTAAGAATCTTCGAATAGAAAAGGGTCCAAGATTCCTTCCAAGGAAATAGGAATCACTTCAAGCAGTCTTGCCGTCAAAGAAGACCAATTCAAACGTGGAGGAAGAAGACATGGAGACGTGAAGAGAAAATAGGAACAACTTTGGCCCTCAATTCCGAATTCCACGGGATTGACAGAGAGAGCAGTTGAGGGCTTATGGGATATTCTATAGGCTATAAATAGGAGCATATCCATGGTAAAAGGGCATCACAAAATTATTGAAGTCTCATTACTAAATACAATCATAATATCATAGTCGCAATATTATCATTCCATTATCAATCTGTAACCTACATTGTAACCTCTTCAACTGAATTACTTAGTAGATTGGTGGACTCATAGCCACCCGCAGTTTTTACCCTTATTCCTAGGGTTTTCTGCGTCATCATCTTGTGTGTCTTCTTCCCTTCCCCTTTTGCTCCCTCTGTGATTTCCTCTTGTTCGTTTCTAGAAACCTATTTCAGTAGTTTCTGTAAAGTTAATATAGTTATAGCTATTGCGAACCAGGTCGAACCTGTTACTCAGTTTTTTTTTTACCAAAACAGTTTGGCGCCGTCTGTGGGGACACAGTTAGGTCAATTTGTCCGTCCCTCATCATGGCTTAAAGCCCCGATCCTAATCTGGATGCAAATGCATTAATCGAGAGCCTCCATGGAAAAGATCCAGAAGCTCGAGGTCGAGTCCAAAGCAACATTGGAAATGCTTCAGGCCGAATCCCAAGCATCCTTGGAGAAGCTATCTAAGGAACTTGAATCTGTCAAGAGCAGCAAAAAGAAAAGGGTAAGGATCAGTGACATACCCCAGTTCACCTTGGTCTCCTCTGACGAATCAGAAGGAGAAGACGAAAGAGAAGAGCCTCGAGATAAAAAGGATCAATCTGGTGAAAATCTTACCCCCATGGCCAAGGAAGTCGTCGTTTTTAAGGCCCAGAACTGGAAAATGATGAAGCTCTTGACCCGGCTACCAGGTGCTCCTAGACCTGTAGCATATGAATCTCACGATGGATTTGCTGAATCCCCTTTTGTGGAGGAAATTGCTAGAGTGCGTATTCCCACAAAGTTGAGTATCCCCTCTTTCCCAAAGCTGTACGATGGAACCACCGACCCTCAAGATCACGGGGCCCAGTACAAGCAGAAAATGTGGCAATTATCGATCCCGTGGGAACTTATTGAGCCCACTATGTGCAAGTCCTTTGGCGCTACTCTCTCAGGACCTGCACTCCAGTGGCTTATCAAACTGAAGCCGGGAACCATCGCCAGCTTCTCAAGTTTGGTGAATAAATTTTACCAGCAGTTTGCTACCAGCAGAGAGTTGGAAAAGCAAAGCAGTGACCTGCACCGGATAGCCCAAAAGCAGAACGAAATAACTCGGCAATATATGGACAGGTTTAATCGGGAAATGGTCAGCATTAAGAATTGTGATCATTCAACTGCTATTGTAGCCTTCCGCAAGGGTCCTAATTATAGGTCCAGATGATATTATGAGCTGACCAGATATCCTTGCGCCTCATTTGAAGAAGTTGGAACCAGGGAAATGGCTGAAGTCCGCATCAAAGAAGATGAGCATGTTGGAAGCTAGGTCAAGAGAAGACCAACTGGGTATTCAGGAAATCAATCCTTCGGAAATCAAACCTTCGGACCCTGGCAAAATAGCTGGCAGCCAAGGCGCAGCAATGTGCACAGCATATTTGATCCGGCAGCAGGTGAAGGCTCCAGCAGCCCAGCAATAGAGTACCACCCAGATATCAGCTCATATGGTTTTGATACAGACATAGTGGGAGTTGTGAACGCTCTAAAGGATATTGGGCAGCCCGTAAGTTGGCCTAGGAAGAGCGATAAACTTGAGCACCAGAAAGACAAGTCCAGGTGGTGCGAGTATCATGGAGATCATGGGCATAGGACTGACGAGTGCAACAATCTTAAGAGAGAGGTGGCTTGGTTACTAAAGAGGGGTTACCTGAAAGATTTCCTGGGAAAAAAGGGAAAAGGACCTGAGGTCAAGCGGGAAGCCCTGCCAGGTCCACCAGCTTCACCTACTCCAGGTGTCGTGATTAGTGCAATATCAGGAGGATCTAGCATCAGCGGTCTGACGTATTCCAATGCAAAAAGGATAGCAAGAGTCGGCACCTCAACCTCCAGCATCTCCCAAACCTATCCTACCAGAGAAGAAAAAATGCTAGATGAAATGAAGGTCATATTTGATGAAAGCAGGTTCAATGAACCCGAGCACCATAATTGCTTGGTTATTTCCCTCCATGTTGGTCACTGCAAAATGAAGAGTGTACTGGTGGATAACGGAAGCTCAACTAACATAATTTTCAAAGACGCGTTAGATCAAGTCGGCTTCAAAGAGTCGGATATCATCAAGAGGTCCACATTTCTTGTCGGGTTCAATGGTGAACCTATGAATTCTCTATGAGAGATCCAGCTGCCAACATTACTCAAAGGTGTTAATATGATGCATAAGTTCTACGTGATTGATTGCAAAACTTCCTATAATGTAATAGTGAGAACCCCTTGGATCCATATAATGAAAACCGTCTCATCTACCTATCACCAACTGCTCAAGTTTCCGAGCCCATGGGGAGTAGCAGTGGTTGAAGGAGACAGAAAGCAATTAAGCGCGAGAATGCTACCAGCTCTCCCTAAAACCTCATCGCCCTGCCATCTAGTAATTACTGCAAAATCCAGCACCCAAGCACCCAGATGAGTTACAGTTAGATGAAGTAGTGCTGGATGAGTCAAAGCCAGAGTAAAAGGTCAAAATCGGAGCTGCACTATCGTTGGAGCAGAAAGAATTTATCATTAAGTGCCTCAGAGATAATTCAGATTGCTTCGCATGGTCACATCAAGACATTAAGGGTATCCGTTTGGAAGTTATCACACATAAGCTAAATGTGGATCCCAACATAAAGCTGGTGAAGCAGAAAAGGAGGAAATTCGCACCAGAGCGTAACCAGATCATCAACGAAGAAGTTTAGAAACTGCTAGATACCGGGAAGATAAGGGAGGCCAAATACCCAGATTGGCTAGCTAACGTGGTTGTCGTCAGCAAAAAGAATGGAACCTGGAGAGTCTGCATCGACTTCACATATCTAAACACAGCGTGCCTTAAAGACCCATTTCCTCTCCCTCATATAGACTCAATGGTGGATGCAACAACTGGCCATGAGCTCCTAACCTTCATGGATTCATACTCCGGTTACAACCAGATTCTGATGCACCCGGATGATCAAGAAAAGACAGCTTTCATGACAGATAAGGGAATCTACTGCTACAAAGTGATGCCGTTTGGATTGAAGAATGCAGGTTCAACCTATCAGAGGCTAGTTAACAAAATGTTCAAGGACCAACTAGGGGACACCATGGAGGTTTACATCGATGATATGTTGGTAAAATCAAAGAAAGCAGTTGATCACGTAAGCCACCTAGAAGAAGCTCTCAATGTCCTCCGGAAGTATGAAATGAAGTTGAACCCATCCAAATGTTCATTCAGAGTATCTGCAGGTAACTTTCTGGGCTACATAGTCGCTCAACGGGGAATCGAAGCTAGCCAATATCAAGTACGCGCTAAAATTGATATTCAATCACCTAGAAACCTAAAAGAGGTACAGAAATTGACTGGAAGAGTAGCTGCATTAAATAGGTTTATTTCGAGGTCATCAGACAAATGTCATTTGTTTTATAACGTCTTGAAGAAAAACAAGGGTTTTAATTGGTCTGATGATCAAGAAAAGGCCCTACAGGACCTCAAACACTATTTAATGATGCCTCCTCTGCTATCTAAACCTGCTGATGGAGAGTCTTTGCAGCTTTACCTCGCATTCAGCACCCAAGCTGTTAGTGCCATCTTGGCAAGGGAAGCTGAAAGTCAGCAGTTACCTGTTTATTATGTTAGTAAAACTTTCCTCGGTGCCGAAACCAGGTACTCATCTCTCGAAAAACTGGTATTAGCACTAATTATAGCTAGCAGGAAACTACGCCACTATTTTGAAACTCACCCAATAGTGGTGAAAACTAACTACCCTATTAAGGTTGTTTTGCGCAGACAAGAATTAACAGGTCGAATGAGCAAATGGGCAATCGAGCTTAGCGGATTCGATATCACATATGAATCAAGAACAACTATCAAATCACAAGCGCTAGCTGAATTTGTGGCTGACTTCAGCCCAGACCTTGAGCAACAAACAACCTTGGAGTCTGAGCAGATCAACCAAGTCGTCAACCCAGGTACCTGAATACTTTATGTTGATGGATCGTCTAACTTCCGAGGTGCAGGTCTTGGTTTAGTGCTGAAGTCGCCACAGGGGGACATGATAGTACCAGCTATATGTTGTGATTTCAAAGCTACTAACAATGAAGAAGAGTACGAAGTTTTGATTGCAGGTATGAATCTCGCAAAGGATCTGGGTGTTACTAACCTGCAGGTGTTCTGCGATTCTGTCCTGATAACAAGCCAGATGAATGGCGAATTCGCAGCTAAAGACTCCAAGATGGTCTTATACCTAGACTTCGCCAAATCCCTAGCAACCAAGTTTTCAACCTTCACCATAAAACAAATACCTAGAAACAAAAACACGCAAGCAGATGCTCTAGCCAACTTAGGATCAGCCCTAAGAAAATCCAAATTCTCCTCCATCCCTTTGATCCACTCATTAGCACCCGCCATCAACACATCCAACCAACCACCTAAACCCAACTTCATTGCACCTGTGGCTAACCCAACCAGCTGGATACAACCCATATTTGATTACCTAGAACATGACACACTACCCGAAAACAAAGCTAAAGCAAGAGCACTCAGGTTCAAAGCCAGTAGGTACACGATCATCCAAGGCGTCCTATTTAAAAAATCTACCAGGGATATCTTGCAGCGCTGCATAAAGGAAGATGGATACGAGCAAAAATCCTCAAAGACTTCCATGATGGAGAATGTGGAGCCCATTCAGCTGGAAGAACCTTAGCCAATAGAATACTCACTTACGGGTATTACTGGCCAACTCTACGGGAAGATGCTCACAGGTATGTGCGTAAATGTGATAGTTGCGAGCGACATTCCGGTATCACCCATAAACCCTCCATTCCTTTGCATCCTACCTTAACACCTTGGCCTTTCATGAGATGGGGCATGGACATAGTAGGTAAATTACCTGTTTCCCCAGGTCAAAAGGTCTACATGTTGGCTATAACAGATTACTTTTCTAAGTGGATTAAAGCAGATGTGTTCCAATAGGTTAGAGACAAAGAAGTTATCAACTTTATTTGGACTAACATAATCTGCAGGTTTAGAGTACCATCTGAAATAGTCTGTGACAACAAATCCCAATTCATAAGTGCCCCAATCAGACACTTCTACGACAAATGGAATATCACGTTGGTCACTTCAACACCTAGGTATCCCCAAGAAAATGGACAAGTCGAATCCAACAACAAGGTCATCATTGGATCCTTGAAAATGAAGCTGAAAGACAAGAAGGGCAAGTGGGCAGAAGAGTTGCCAAGAGTCTTATGGGCCAACAGAACCACACCAAGAACCGCAACTAGTCAAACGCCCCTGTCACTGGTATACGGGTGTGAAGCAGTACTACCCACGGAGATCATCACCCCAACAACCAGATATGGTTTGATGACACCAGAACGCTACACCGAGGAACTGTCACATGATCTAGATACCGTGGAAGAACGAAGAGACCTAGCATACATAAGGATGGCCATCTATCAGCAAATGGTAGCTAGAAGTTTCAACAAAAATTTCAAGGCTAAAATGTTCAAAGTAGAAGATTGGATCCTGAGAAAAGTCTTCCAAAACACCCAAGAGCTTAACGTAGGTAAGTTGGGGGCAACCTAAGAAGGCCCATATCAGATCGTGAAAGTAGTTAGCAAAGGGGCCTACAGGTTGGCCACAATAGACGGTAAGCTGGTACCTAGAAGCTGGAACGCAGCACATCTGAAACTCTATCATTTTTAGAAAGTTCATTCGCGCAATGAAAAAAAATGGGTGTATATATTTTCTTCGTTTACTTAGTTCACTTCCAGGAAAAGATCAGTTTTAACTTAAGCATCGAAGGGCCATTGGTGGCAACACCAATGGTCAACTCTAGCTCGCTGTTTTACAGGAATCAAAGGAGCAAAAGTGGATAACTAGTGGCAATCTGACAATACCTGGATGACATAAGAGCCTAAAGTAATTTCACACTCCCTATCTATGTCCACTTATTTTCTACGACTCGTACTGACTTAAGCATCGGAGGTCGTTGGTTGTGCCAACGGCCATCTCTAATCTTTGTGATGCAAATACAAGTTCAAACTTCTCAACGGACAAAGTAGCTACGGACCTAAGCGCCAGATATCACAGATTCACAGAAACGGATTCACAGACAGAATATGTTCACAAGTCAGAAATATCAACGCAAACTAAGGTAACATACGATTATTCAAAGGAACCTAGCGTTCAAAATTCAAAAAGTTTATAGTTCAAAGTCTAACCTTTGCTCCCCCGAGCAAATTAAAGCAAATTCAAAAGAACAAAAGATTGTGTTAACAAAAGCAAACACAGAAGTTAAAAGCACTAAAACTTAAGCTTCAGCTATCTGTTCATCCTTGTCAACTTCTTTAGGTGGAGATTCAGGTTGATGACCTGGAGAAGATTCAGCAGTAGACTTCGTAGCCTTAGGATCACCAGGTTAAGCTTCACCAGATACCAGGTCTTTGATATAGCCAACAGTCAAATAATCATCAACTAACCATCGAAGTTTCTTGACACATGCATTCCTTTCATACTTACTCAGTAGAAAGTTGTTAGCCATATAAGCCTTGATTTTCATAGTAACCTCAGCCTCTATGTTCTTGTTCTCGTCTTCAAGGTCAACCACCTTCTTGTACAAGTCTGCTACCTCTTTGTCTTTTTTCTTCAACTCCCCGTCCTTAGTTTTCAGAGCATCCTCCTTCTTCTTCATCTCTTCCTCAAATTGCTTTTGTTTGCCCTTCAAGACAGATTTAACATCCTCAACCTTCTTTTTTGCTGCATCTACCTGAAGTTGCAGTTCCTTCCTAGCCTTTTCAGAATCTTGCAGCTTCCTTTCCATGCCATCGAGCTGATACTTAGAGTACAGAATGTTCTGAAGACCCTGTTTCACCAACAATTACACCAAGTTAACATAAGCCTACTAGGAAGCTAATTAAACAAAACCAACATAGCAGTCAAACCTGTAAAACCAATTGTGCTACATCTGCTAGAGCCAAAGAACCATCTAGATTCGCCAAGCGCTTAGCTGCTGCTGGAAAAAAAAAGCTTCTGAGCAGCTGGCCAAATCCCATTGTTAGAATCTTCTTCGGCCAAAAAGTCAGGAGGAAAGCTAGCATCATAAGTATCTGAAATAACCACAGTCTTGAAGGGAACATTAGATCTAGTACGGCAGG